ACAAAAAAAAAATTTAAAAAAAAAAAAAAAAAACATTCTTGTAACATTCAAATAAAGAAATTAGAATTTTAAAAAATAAATATAAAATAGAAACTAAAATAGTTATTATCATATATATAAAGACTTGAGATTCTTGACCTAAAGTAAGAATATAAGAAAGGTGTTGAGAAGAGTGAGGATAGCCTTATCCTTGCCTCTATGTATACTATTTAATTTTAAAAATTATATTTTATAGGTCATTTGATACATGTCCAATTTGTATGGCAAGTTTCTAATTTGTATATTACATAGCCAATTTGTATACCAAATGATCAATATATGCAACATGAGGCCAATTTATTGGCCAAATTTTTAACATATCAATCACCTATAAATACTTAAAAAGTCAAATTTGCCTCTATGGAGCTTTTAAAAGCTTCTCTATAAGATAATAACAAATTTACTTCTACTTGCTTCTATGTAATACATCTTATCTTTATTAGTATTAATATATTTATGATATTATCTTTTCTTTTAGGAACAATTTCTACAAGGAACAATGATCATATATTGAAAAAAATTAAGATATAGCAAATTGTATTTGCTATATAATTTGATCTTTATTAATTTTGAAGATAGTTAATATGTTCTTTCAACAATCAATAGTGTCTCATACTAGGACAAGAAGACCATCTTGTTATTTAATCATTGTTGAGGCCTTAAATTTTTTTTTCAAATAATATATTTGGAATATTATTAAGAGCCATTCTTACCTCTATAATATTATCAAACATCAAGAGTCTCTTTCAAGATTGTGATATCAAATGCATTGTATCTTTTCATCCATTTGAAGAAAAATTCATTAAAAGATAGAAGATAGAATACAATTTTTATTGAATATGCTTCATTTTATAATAAATAATTTTTTTATTTTTTAACTTAGTTTTGATAAATATTATCAATGAAAACATCAATCTATTTTATTGTAATTCCAATATTCTTAGATGGTTTTCATGTATATTTACTAATATTATATCCACACCAATGTATATAATATTTTAATATATTTTGGCATTGCCTTAAGTCTAAGATTTCTACTATTTCAAATTCTTATTGTCTATTTCTACAAGAAGAAGTGGCATTTGTCTTCTTCATAATATATCCATTGTCTTGTATGCCTTAAGAAAGAACACATAGAATACAAGATGGATTTTTATAGACTTTGATAGGTATAATTAATATACAACATGATTGATTTATTTGCAAAAAAGAAATGATCCAAGTTTATGGCCATCTAGCTTGTTACAAAGACAAATAGTCTTGATATTACAATGAAGTAATCATTATTTGTTGCCAATATAAAATTGAGGTTGTTCGTTACAATAGTTATTTGTATTGATCTTTTATTATTTTTGAACTTCTTTTAATTTATGTATTATATAATTTTTTTGTTAACTTAAGATATTAATCCAAAAGATCATGCATGATATTTTATATTAATTTGTAATCATAATTTTTTTAATTAAAACTATAAATTCTTAATTCACATTTTTTATAAATTTTTAATTTATTTAGATACATTTTTATGTTAAAACTTCTAATTTTATTGACATAAAATCAATATAAAATTTATATAAGAAATAGTAGAAAATAATAAAATTTAAATCTAATTCATAGTTTCTTGAATTCTATAAATGTTGTATTTTCTTAAATTTAATAATAAAATTTCCAAAAAATACTTCATGAAGGTATAGATCTTATCTACACTTATGCCAAAGTAAAAAAATAAAAAAGATATTAATAAAATATATATATATATATATAGGTCTTTAGTATACATTGACTTGCTATCATTGTTAAATTAAAATATCTTTAAGCTACGGCAAAAATTCTTGAGATTTTACAATAAAATATACTACAAATCCTTAGGCCCTTCTTAAAAGAGATAGAAGCAATAATTAATATATATATATATATATATATATATAGATATATATATTCAAAATTAACTAAGATTATTATTTATATAAATGAATATATATACCATTGTGAATTTATATTTAGATATGAATATTAGTGAACATATAAATATGAATATAAATATATGTATATATATGGACATAAAAATATGGATATGGATATAAAATCACATATATAGATATAGAATTATGGACATGGACATGAAGTCATGGACATAAATATAGGTATGGATACATGGACATAAGTATAAACATGAAGACAAGGACATAAAGTTATAGACATAGATAAAGAATTATATATATATATATATAGAGAGAGAGAGAGAGAGAGACATGAAGTAGTTCAAAGTATATATAAATCTTATAGTTGTCAAATAACTAGTTTAAAAGATAAATTTATTGATATTATAATAGTAAAATATATATTTTAAAAATAAATCCTAATCACATTATAAAAATTAAATAAAAAATTTAAAGTATAATTTTATTTATAGTATTATAATAAAATAAAAAATTATTTTAGAATTTAGAATTACAAAGATATCCTATGAGGTTTAGGATTTAGGATTACAAAAGTATTCTATGGAAATTTTACTTATTATTTTTAACTTTTAACTTCACCTACCTTCATATTTTATATAGTTGTGATTCTATTATTATATTTAAAATTCTATAAAAATTCTTAGATTTTGAAATATAATCTAATCAAATATATGCTTTGATTCTATTTATATTTTAAAATAAAATAAATAATTTAAATCATACTGCATTTACATAATTACATTTAAGTAATTAGTTTTGAATTAGATCCTATTTACATTCAAAGTATCATTCAAAGTATCATTCTATTAAGATTGAGACTATTAGGAGTTAGTTTAAAATTTAATATTATTTATACTACAATAATCAAATAACTAGTTTTTAATTTGATTTGGTTACAAGGTATCATGTGAAGTTTTAACTTTTTAATTTTTAACTTTTGATGTAATCTAATATATTTTTTTTGATACTTTGATTTCAATGGTATAATCAAAATCTTATTCAAATATTCATAATTGGAGATATTATATAATAAAACGTATAGCAATGATCCTATTTATATTATAGCAATGATATAATTTGTTTGAAGTATGTATTCTTCAAATTATAGAATTCAAATAATTAGTATTAGTTTGAGTTTATATTAAATTTGTATAATAATTAGTTTAAATTATTACTCCATTCACATTAAGATTGTTAAGAACATGTTTGAATTTTAATTTTGTGTATGATGCAACAACCAAGTAATTAGTTTTGAATTTTATTAAAAAAAATTAAATTTAGTTTATATTGTAATAATAAAATCATTGATTCATAATATCATCTTGTTTATACCAAGTTTAGGATTTAAGATTTAAAAAAATTAATGGAATAGTCCATGACAAGGCATGATCTAAGATTTTATGACTTTTATACAACTTATGCTAGAGGGCTAGGTGTTTCTCTTAAACAAAACAAAAAATCAAATATACCTTGAGTAATAGTGATTTAACTATACAATGCCATCAATGCCATATTTAAGCTTTGAAAGTTTTTTATTACTTAAGCTTTTATTTTTGATTGTTAATATGCACTATACTAATGAAGCTAATAGAGTCTCAAAGCACATGGTTTTTTCATAATAAATACATTTTAGTTGAATTAAGTCAAAAATTCTATAAAATAACTTCAACTTAATCACAAATTTATTAGATAACTAATTGATAAATCTTAGATCAATTAATTGCACTCACAAAATATTATCAAATAATCAGATTTATACAAATAAATTTTAATTTTGAGATCCAAAGTAATTTTTTTTCATTAATCTATTTGCTTATATTAATTTAAGTCTATGCAATAATAACTAAGTTTTAATTTAATAAAAAAATTGAAATTATTGCATTGAAAAAATTACTATAAAAATTTTAAAAAAAATACTTTTATTTGTACAGGTGCTAAACCAAACAAACCGAAAATATATTAGTAAGGCATATGCAAGATGCCTTTACACATCTATTAGTGTTCTATTACTTTTGAATTTTGCTAAATGACCTAAATAAGTACAACCATTATAAAACCACAAAATAATAAAGAACATAAATCAAAGTTTATTTTAAAACAAAGAATTTGTTGGCTTAACATTGTAGCAGCAACATTTAAGTTTTATTAAAATAAATAAATAATCTCAAACAATATTTTCCTCCTATCTTGGTACTTGTAGACAATAATATGTTAAAATTAAATAAAGTATTTTAGAAAGAATAACTAACTTAAGATTATTTGAATGCATAAGACTTATAAGTCCATGTACAATTTACTACAAAAGTTTAACATTTAGGTTTTAATATATATAATTATATGGATGTGCTTGAAAGAATTGACTTTTTATTTCAAGTTTTAGAATTTGAGATTACACAAGTATGTTTGAAAAAGATGATTTTTATTTAAGATTTTAGGATTTAGGATTCTATAGGTATCTTTGAAAAAGTTGACTTTTTATTTCAAATTTTAGAATTTGGAATTACAAAGATATTCTACAAAGTTTTGACTTTTTATTTTAAAATTTTGACTTGACCTACTTTCTTGTTTTGAAAGGTTTAGGGCTATAAAATTATAGAATTCAAGATATAAGATAATAGGATTTTGGGATATAGGGGTTAGTATTGAAGATTATAGGATTTAAGGTTTAGGATTACTTGGATGTCCTTGAGCATTTTCACTTTTTTTCTTTGAGTTTTAATGGACTTACCTTGCATTTTCAAGATCTGCAATTACAATGGTAGAATCTAAATGCTCTACAAAAAAATTTAGATTTGCAAATTTGAGAGGACCTAATCCCTTATCCGAATCTACTATTTCAATGGTATTATGAGAATGGTCTAGAAGTTCTTAGATTTAGAGATACAGAGAAGACTTTTGGATTTGGAGTTGACTTTATGGATTTGGTTTGAAGTGAACTTAATTATCATGTTTGGTATAATTGGTATCTCTTATTCGCTGCGATCAATTTCAATTGTAGAGGATCACGTGTGAATTTATGCGAACTCCACCTCTGATCTCCAAACCCTGAAACTGTCGGCGAGTTGTATCGCACATCGGACCCCAAGTTCGAATCCCACACTTGCTGGATCCCTGTGGACATCGGATGGTCCGCGGCCCCAGTTCCGAAAGCTGAGATTGGAACATTCCAATGCACCTGACAGTTGAGATCTGTCCACGTTATCTGCTTGTGCTTCAGGCGAAGAAGCTGCTAGCAAGCTAGTACCGCGTCTGTCCCCTTGATCGTTCCAAACGCTGGAAGGATGGTCATCGATAGTCTTCTGGGTGGGGTCTAAGAGGTTATTTTTTTGCTTCAAGTCTGGTAAGCTGTAAAGTCTGACGACTGCATGTTGCTCTTTCCATATGGTTCGTGTTGCGAATCGAAAATCGGTGAGTGTTGGTGGTGGTTTTATGTTCTGATGGGTTCCTTTTTTATGGGGTTGGAGGTTTTAGAGATGACGACGTGATCTCAACGGATGCCTGCCGTGAAGATTTCTTATTCGGTTGCGGTGTGTGAGAGTTGTTCCTGTCAGCCCCACTTGTTTTTAGTAATTAATTTTGTAGATATTAATTTTTGGATTTCCTGAACGTGATTTCACACTCCACATCTGTATGGAAATTGCGAATGACTGAATGCTAGTGGTTGTGACGATCGGAATTTCGTGTGCCGATTGATTCAAGCTAAAAACAATGATCATGTGTCTTTTTCGACTGGTGAATTTGGTCTGGGACGATATTAGGCACTAGAATTTTACTATTGATAGTATGAATAGATATTGTTCTTTCATGTTTGAATAGCTATGTCAAGACGAAAGATTCATTGTAATGGTGAAACAATTCGTGATATGTCTTAGCGATAAAACATCCATGGGAGGGTAAACATTCCCTCACTGAGCAGTGAAAATTCAAACAAACCATTGTTTGTTTGTTTCTGTGATGCTTTTTTTGGCGTAAACTGAAATTTCAAGCAAAGTGTTCGAAGGTTTTAGTAGTTCAGAGACAGGCAGCGGGGGAGAAACTCACAGAGATCGTGTCTTCTTGTGGGAGTCTTGCTAATGGTGTGTATCTCAGTGCTGCTCTGAACTTCGAAGAACCTTAACAAGTCTCCACGTAGTATGAACCTCAACCCGTGTGACTTGTTTGGCACAAATGTGTGTGAAGACTTGTTTTCTCAGGCAGCTCCCTCCAGGCCTTGGACGGACGAGTAGCTTGCCATGCGAGTAATCTCGCAGGATTTCCTTTCAGAACGACCCAGCCCAGAACTACAGCCGAAGATTGCGTTTATGTTTTTGACTGCGGGCATTCCACCCTTTGAAAAAATATGAGAGAAGTTTTTGAGGTATGATTTTTTTCTATTAATGCTTTGCATTTTTCAACATTGTATATAAAATTTGTTCCGATTTGAACTCGATGCGGGTTAAGTATTCTTTGCGAAGTTGTAACCCTATATTATTCGAGCTATATTACTCGTGAAAGTTCAGTAATCATTGAGATTGAAGCAAGAATGTGATCATCTTCCAATTGCTCCCACACCTGTATCGTACTTTCCATGGCTGATGGACATTTTGGGAGCCGCTTGGGTCATAACTGGCCCCAACTTTGTCGTTTTCATCGACAACAAGCTGAAGATTATTTTAGGGAAATGGTGCTCATCCCAATTTCATAATTGAGCAGGGATACGAAGGTCTGTACTCTGTCTTCGTGCATGCCTCCAAACGGGCAGAATTGAAGAGTGTCTGGAACTCCTCTGTATTCATCGACAGAGAGATTCGTAGCCAAGCGGTGATTTTCTTATGGACTGTTTCCATCTTGAGGGAGCATTGAGAACAGCATGCATATCTCACGCCGTAAATGGGTGTGTTTGAGATGCTGATATTAATGACTGTTTTGCAGGTCTTTTGGGGAAGAACTGAAATGGTTGATGCCGAGCGACGTCTTCTTACGAATGCGCTCATGGATTCAGACAAATAGTACTTCACTCTATTATCTGAATCGTGTGCCCTCAGGCCATAGATCTTTCATGTATATGGTTATACAGAGTGTTTCATATTGGGGGCGCTTTTCTTATGCTGCACGTTTTAATACTCAGCTTGGTCATGTATTGTGTTCAACTCACCCACTGATGCAGATGCATACCTCTAAATAACTTTAGCTTCACCTATGGATATCTGTTTAACGCTCACATGAGTTTTGTAGACGGTTAGGTTCTCAAACTATCCATACATCCTCCCGCAGGTTTATTTCATGTCTTAACGTCCCATACCAACAGCTCGGGATGCACATCGTTGAACACTGTACATTTTTCGGTTTTATGCTTTAAATCGACTAGGATTTGTAGTCGAGGACAGGAAATCAAGATTGGTAGCATTCAGCATGTATGTTCTTAAAACGCCATCTTCATAAGTGGCCTTTGAGTTAAAAGTATTGTGAGAAGTAAGGCTTCAATGCTTGACGTCATTTCTTAAAGTCTGGAAAATTGAAGCCTCTTCACTCTTGGCACTCTCCGAACAAACCTTTAGAGCAGCTGTGAACTCTGTTTTCTTTTTAAGAAAGTCACTCAACGTCTCCAGTTTGTGAAACTTCCCATTCGACTGCGTCACCTTTTCCTGTGCCTTTTTTTTTTTTTGTTTTTCCTTAAAATAAAAAAATAAAAAAAATGAGGATGATGACTTTGTTTGATGTGTTAATTACAACAGCTCCGATGATCTTGGCCCTCATGGGCAAAATCGCAACCGCGAGAAGATGCCTCCTGAAATATCGCGTGTTTCTTAGAGAAAAGGGGCTCAAGTATGCCTTCAACACTTAGTTGTGATCTTCCTTATTTATTTCAATGAATTGAGGAGATTCTACCAGTCACAAGTTTACATTCTACGTGGTTGGTGTAAGGGTTCACAGTTCTGCTTTCAAGAGTATATTGCAGTAGCTACATGTGTACTGTACTCTCTTTGAAAGAGAAGTCATTCCAGGGGATAATCCAGGTGGCATAGCACAAAGGCCACACAATTCTCATTATGGCATTCGTTTACCTACACATGATAAATCCGTCATGAAGCAGTGGCTTGCTGTCAACCGAAAACATGCCCTCTTGTTTATCTCTGATTACCTCTACTACAACAAGATTAAATACTATTGCAAGGTGCGGATACATCTTCCCTATTGTACCTGTATAAAAACAAAATATGGGATTCATGAAACTTTTCTTTTGTCGTCTAATCCATCACAGATTAGTTGTAAGAAAACAAGCCTATGTTTTTTTGAGGACTCTTCTTTTCTCCAGTTATATTACATAATCACTTCTACTGATTTTGGTTGTGAAGTCATAGTCCTTTTGTTCACAGCGGACCAGAGCTTGTTCTAACTATCTGATATGAATGGGTTGTTGAATGGTTGCAGCCTGGGCCAGAGAATAAGAACTGCTGCCTCGATGAAATTAGTATTAGATATGGTGCCTCTCATGAAGAAATTACTAAGTGTTTCAATTATTACTTAATAGTAGTGAAAGATGTTTCTATGGATGATTTTGTAAGTGGCTCTTATATTTTTATTGCAATAGTTAGAACTTAATTATAGAATATATTCACAATATAGAATTAGTATTCTAGATATTTTAGTATAGTGACATAGAAAACATTGATGAAGGAGATTGTAGTCAAACAAGAAGTGAGATAGATAATACCAATCTTGATTGTCTTAATGCACTTGTTGATAGTGCACTTCTTGATAGCCTTGAAACCTTTGTCTAAGGCATTATTGCTTAAATAGAAATGCTTGACTTTAAAACACTTGTTAGTATACTTTTGTAGGAAGAAATTTGTAGAGGAATTTGTGGCATGCAAAAGTTTGAAGAGGAGGTAGAGATTGTAAAGTTTCAAAAACTTTACAAATATTTAGATTCTTGACAGTAATCTGAAAACCAAAGAATAGCAAGTGCTATACTTCTAAAGAAAAATGACACTTTGCAAAAGACATAAGTTATTAGAAATACAAGAAGCACTATCAAATTTAAAAGAATCAAGAGTAAAAGGTAGTAAAGATGAAGTGTATAAATCTAACTTTGAAAGAGGATGGAGAAAGCTCAAGAGACAAAGAAACAAATTTCTTTAAGGTAGCAATGGCCATAATGGATGCATATGAAGAATATAATTAGTTCTTTGATTCAGGAGTAAGCAAACATGTCACTACAAATGCTTATAATCTTATTCACTATTGTAAGACAATATAACAAGAATAAGTAAAAATGGTTGGATGATAGTTCCATAGTATAGTTTGTTAGGAAATAGCTAGAATTGTTTCATCATATAGATAAAAAAAGAAAATGATAAATATTCTTAATATTTTAAATTTATTAAAAAAATCTTTTATTGATAGTATAAAGATAATATTATATTATTTGATTCAAAGTCTTTGCAATATTTTCAATAAAAATGACTAAGCCAAGATAATACCTAAAGAAATCTAATTGTCATAGACATACATATTTATTTTAATATTTACCTATATTATTGAATAGAAGTAGGTTAAAGTAAATTATTTCATAATATTTTCTAAAAAAGCTTCTTATAAACTTCATAGACCTTGCTTTGATTTTACATGAGTTAGAAATTGATTAGTAGATTAAAAACTTGATTAATAAGTTAACCACATATTGGTAGCTTGCCAAACAAGCTAACTATATAGTGTATACATAAAAAACTTGTTTTGTAAGTTAAGATACGTGTCTTGTAAAGTCAACACGTTTTGGAGGTCCTTTAGGATATTACCACATAGCTCGTAATTAAGAATATATATGGAGGCAAAAGTAAAGTCTTCTTCAGTCCTTTCAATGCCTTTTTAGTCTTTAGTCTTATTTCAAGATTTTTTAGTCTTCTTATTTTTGGCAATAGCTATTTTAGTTCAATATTATATCATCTTTGAGTGACTTTCTAGTTCTTTTTAGTAACACAAGAGTGTATTAAGGATTTCTTTTTTTGAGATTCATATCCTTGATAGTTTCAAAAAATCACTAATTTATTATTTTTTCTTATTTTAGAAATAAGTGGATTATTCCACTTCTATTATTATCTTTTGAAGGTTATAGACTATCCACCTTCAAATAAAAAATCTTGTTTTCTAACATTGATATTTTTCTTAAGAAAGTGGATTATCTTTTTTTGTAGAAGTTTTCATTTAATATTAGAGGTTATGGATTATTTTCTTCTAATTTAATTTTTTGAATTTGTTTGAGTTATCTATGGAAGGAAAAAATTATGGATGCTATTCTTAGTAGAAGTGAGAATAGATTTACAACTATTGCAGATCTTCATGAACTTGTCAATATTCTAAAAAATAAAAATCTCACCTATTTTCAATGTGAATTATAGAGGTACTATTTCTATGCCTATGGAAAAAGTTCAGAGTCTATGTTAAGAAGTTGTGCAATTGAAGGAAACAAGTAGATTGACCTCACAACCAAATTTAGAGAGTTTTGCTTCTATAAGTATGACAAGGACAAGGATTAGTATGCCTAAGAAGTTTGATGGAATAAGATCAAAATTTTGAGGATTTTTGCAACAAGTCAAGCTTTATTTAAGGTTATATCCTTTCCAATATCTTGATGGATTTATTCACATTGCATTCATAGGTTTAATTCTATAAAGAAGTGTTCTCTCTTGGCTTGAACCTTTAATAGAAAAAGTTTTGCAACTCCTTTATGATTTTAATTCATTCCTAGAAGTGTTTAGAAGCACATTCAGAGAAAGTCATTGAGAAAAAATAGTAAAGACTAAACTCTTATCTTTACAACAAGGAACACAGTTAGCCACCATATATGCTATTGAATTCCAAAACCTTGCTTGCGACGTGGACTAGAATAACAAAGCTCTTATCAATCAATTTTGATATAGATTGAAGGATAATGTCAAAGATTTGTTATTGACAATATTAAAGACAAAAAATTTGGAATGATTTTTTATTTAAGCTATTGCATGCAATAATTGATTATTTAAAAGAAGACAAGAATAAAGACTTGGCTAAAGAGGAACAAATCAAATAATGATAGTAGCTTTCAAATTTTCAAAAACTTATTCATCAAAGCAAGAATCAATGCAAATTGATACAGTGTTATAATATAATATGACTAATAGGTGAAAAGAGTGAAGAAATTATTATATTATGTAATATTTTATTTCAAATATTATAACAAATTATCTTAGAAAATAGATAATAATTCAAAAAAAAATAAGACTAAAGGTGTAAATGCTATCATTTTACAAAGTAGGCTTCTCTTTATTTTGTAAGTCCATAAATAAAGCAAAATAAGATAGATTAGAAAAATAAAGAATATGAACATATGTAAAAAGAAATTAAGAGCTGAGTTTAACAAAAATAAAATCAAAAGAGCAAAATTTGATATTTAGAGATGACCAATTATCAACCTAAGTCGAAATCAGATCTTGAGGCATAAAACTAGGCACCTATGTCAACTACAAGATCTTTTGGTAGATTAGAGAGTGGGATTTTAGTAGGATTTATTTAAGCATTGATTTTGAGTGATTTGAGTGTGTAATGAATTTTTAAGAGCTTTGCAAAGTCATAGTTATTTTAGATAATTTTGGAATTTATGAGATAAAAAAGATATTATGTTTTAAAAAATTTTGTGAGTTTGGAAGTAGATCTACAATTTAAATTTTGAAAACTTATGTGATTAGTTGTCTAGAATGTATGCTAAAATTTTGAACTTCATCAAAGGGTTGAATATTAAATAATATTCTTAGACAATATCAAGATTTCTAAGATATTTTTCAAAAGAAGAATGCAGATATCCTTCTAGTGCAACATCCTTATAATTGTTCCATCGATCTTCATGATAAAGCTCAACCACCATTTGAACCAATCTGTAGGCTATCATAAAATGAGTTGGCTATACTCAAGAAATACATTAATGAAAACTTCGCTAAGAATTTCATATGCCATTCTAAATCTCTAGCCAAGGCTCTTCTCTTACTTGTAAAGAAAAAAGATGGATCTCTATAAATGTGTGTAGACTATCATTGACTTAATAAGATCACGATCAAGAATAGGTGTTTTTATTTTTAATTTTAAGACTTTTTAATCAACTCAATTAAGCAGAAATCAATACAAAAATAGATCTACAAGGAGCATAAAATCTGATATACATTAAAGAAAGAGATGAATGAAAAATTGTATCTTGAATCAAGTATGGGTATTTTGAATACCTTTTAGATTTAAAAATGTATAAACTACTTTTTAACATTTAACAAATGATATCTTTTATGAATTTTGTAATGATTTTTTTATTTATTATTTGCATGACATCTTAATCTCTTCTAAGAAGGTTCCAAAAGATTCTAATAGGTTCTTAAAAGATTCTAAAAGATTCTAGAAGATTCTAATAGATTCTAAGAAAGTTTTAGAAGGTCATAGGAGATCTTGGAAGTTTCTAGAACACTTTAGATGATTTAGGAAGTTACCAAAGAAAGATCTTAGGCTTCTTTTGTTCTCAAGCCTTATAGAAACTTCTAAAGAAGATTCTTAGAACCTTGTATGTACATGAGTTAAGGTTGAGGGAATCCTAAGTCTCGACAATTCACTTCTTATGATCTATCTATGACCTTCTTGCTTTTTATTCAATTATTATTCTAATGTCGAGCTAATTCTATTTCTAGATATTGAATCCTTATCTTATATATGGTCCCTAATAGTTTGTTGAAACTGCCATAAAATAATATTAGAAGCTTAGTCTTTTTTGACAAAGAGTGGATTACGCTTCTTCTTAGAAGTACTATAGCATTCTAGAGGTTGCAAATTATCTTTCCTTAGATTAATATTGTTCTTTTCATAATATTCTTTTGGTTTTTATTTTATACCATAGATCATGTTTTTTTTCTTTGAATATGTATATTTCTTTGATTTTCTATGGCAAAAGGTGGAAAAGTCAATATGACAGATTTTAAAGAGATCAAGTTAGATTCTATTATTAATGCTCTTGAAGCATAGATGATCGGGAAAGAGACTTTGTCAAAGCAGAATGAAGAATTATATATGACCATACATATTCATCAAAGAGCCAAAGTGCCTCAACTAACACATCAAATTACAATAGAAGTTTGAAATTCTTAAATGACTATATCTGCTTCAACAAATATGGGAGGTACATCCATTAAAGGCAATGATTTGACAACAATAACAACAAAAGAACCAAAGATTGATGGCACCTGCTCAAAATTTTGTCGCTTTGTAAATCAAGTATGACCAATCATCTTACTTCAATCTCAATGATATTCCATTGAAGCATCTAATATTGGTTTGATTGGAACCTTGCTCTCAGATCAAGCTTTATCTTAGTTTGCTCTATTATTTAAAAAAATTCTCTTACATTGTACAATTTTGAAGTATTTTTGAGACCATTTGCAGAAGCATTTGATAAACATGATAAGATTTGTTCTTCAACAATTAAAATTCGAAGTCTTTGAAAAAAAATATATTTTGCATCAACATATGCCTCAGATTTTTGACAATTAGTATGTAATATAAATTAGTGAGAAGATGCATTGATGAGCCAATTTCATTAGGGATTAAGAAACAATGTCAAGGACTTATTATTATCTATGCCAAATCTTCAAACACTCAATGAAGCCATTAATCAAGCTGTGAAGTACAATAACCATTTATTTCAACAACGATAAGATAAATATTTTTCAATTATGCCACATGTATATACCAATTATTTTGCA